CAACAGCATATGAAGAGGATATACACCATGACCAAGTAGAATTTATTCTTAGAAAGTAATGATAATTTAACATAAGGAAATCAATCTGTGTAACACACCATATTAACAGAACAAAGGGAAAAAGGCTATATAATCATTTCAATACAGAGAAAGCATCTGACAAAATTTAATACCCTTTTATAATAAAACTACTTAACAAGCTAGGCAGAGAAGGAAACTACCTAAACATAATAAAGGATACACAGTCATCCTTTGGTACGCAGATTTGTTCCAGGAGCCCCTGCATATACCTGAATCTGTGCATACTCAAGTCCTGCATTTGGCCCTGTGGAACCCCCACGTACAAAAAGTTGGCCCTTGACCAGGCACAGTGGCTCACCCCTGCAATCCCAGCACTTTGGGAGGACAAGGAGGGAGGATCACCTAAGGTCAGGAGTTCAAGACCAGCCTGATTAATCTGGTGAAACTCTGTCTCTACTAAAACAAAAATTCGCCGGGCATGGTGGTCTGCTCTGCAATTCCAGCTACTCGGGAGCCCGAGGCAGAAGACTTGCTTGAACCTGGGAGGGAGAGGTTACAGTCAGCCAAGTTTGTGCCACTGCACTCCAGCCTGGATAGCAGAGCAAGAGTCCATCTCCCCGCAAAAAAAAAAAAAGTTGGCCCTCTGTATACACAGGTTTCACATTCCTCAAATATTGTATTTTCATGCTGTGTTGGCTTAATGACATCTGTATATAACTGGATTTGTACAGTGCAAAAACATATTGTTCAAGGGTCAACTGTATATAAAAAACCCACAGCTAACATCATACTCAAAAACTGAAAACCTGAAAGCTGTTCCTCTAAGATCAGGAGTAAGACAAGGATGTTTGCTTTCGCCAATTTTATTCAACATAGAACTGGAAATCCTAGCCAGAGCAATTAGGCAGGAAAAAGAAATCCAAATTGGAAAGAAAGAAGTAAAATTATCTTTGTTCACAGATGACATGATCTTATATATGGAAAACCCAAAAAACCTAAAGAATCCATAAAAACTAATAGAACTAATAAATAAATCAGCAAAGCTGCAAAATAAAAAAATCGATACACCACCACCACCACTTGTGTTCCTTTATATTAATGAACCTAAAAAATAAAATTAAGAAAACAATTCCACTTACAATAGCATGAAAAATAATACAATACTTAGGAATAATCTTAAGCAAGGACTTGTCTTGCAAAAGACATATACTGAAAACCACAAAATGTTGCTGAAAGAAATTAAAGAAGACACAAATGAATGAAAAGACATCTTATGGTCATGGACTGGAAGACTTAATATTCTTTTTTTTTTTTTTTTTTTGAGACGGAGTTTCGCTCTTGTTACCCAGGCTGGAGTGCAATGGCCCAATTTCACCTCACCGCAACCTCCGCCTCCTGGGTTCAGGCAATTCTCCTGCCTCAGCCTCCTGAGTAGCTGGGATTACAGGTGCGCGCCACCATGCCCAGCTAATTTTTTTGTATTTTTAGTAGAGACGGGGTGTCACCATGTTGACCAGGATAGTCTCGATCTCTTGACCTCGTGATCCACCCGCCTCGGCCTCCCAAAGTGCTGGGATTACAGGCTTGAGCCACCGCGCCCGGCCAAGACTTAATATTCTTAAGATGTCAACACTAGCCAATGCAATCTCTATATGCAATGCAATCCCTATCAAAATTCCAACAATGTGTTTGCAGAAAGAGAAAAACCCATCCTAAAATTCTTATGGACTGTCAAGAAATCCTAAATAGCCAAAACAATCTTAATAAAGAAAAACAAAGTTGGAGGTCTCACACCTCCTGATTTTAAAACTTATGACACAAAGCTATGGTTATCATAACAGTATGGTACTGAATACAGACCCACAAATAGACCAATGAATAGAATACAGAGCCCAGAATTAAACCCCCATATCTATGATCAAGTGACTTTTCAACAAGGATTCTAAGCTCACTCAATGAGAAAGGACAGTCTTTTCAACAAATGGTGCTGGGAAAAATGGATATTCATGTGCAAAAGAATGACTTTAGATCCTTATCTAACACCATATTCAAAAATTAAAATTTTTGAATTTTAATTCAAAATGAAATTTTGGCTGGGTGTGGTGGCTCAAGGTGGTGATCCCAGCACTTTGGGAGACTGAGACAGGTAGATCGCTTAAACTCATGAGTTCCAGACCAGCTGGGCAACATGATGAAACCTGTCTCCACAAAAAATGCAAAAATAGGCTGGGCATGGTGGCTCACACCTGTAATCTCAGCACTTTGGGAGGCCAAGGCGGGTGTATCACCCGAGGTCAGTAGTTTGAAACCAGCCTGATCAGTATGGTAAAATCCCATCTGTACTAAAAATACAAAAATTAGTCAGGCATGGTGGCATGAGCCTGTAGTCCCAGCTACTTGGGAGGCTGGGACAGGAGAATTGCTTGAACCGGGGAGGTGGGGGTTGCAGTGAGCTGAGATCACACCACTGCACTCCAGTCTGGGTGACAGAGTGAGACTCCATCTCAAAAAAACCCCAAAAAACCAAACCAAAACAAAACAAAAAACTAGCCAGGCATGGTGGCACGTGCCTGTAGTCCTAGCTACTTGGGGGGTTGAGGTGGGAGGATCATTTGAACAAGGGAGGTGGAGGCTGCAGTGAGCTGTGATTGTGCCACTCACTCTAGCCTGGGTGACAAAGTGAGACACTGTCTCGAAATAAAAAAAAAAAAAATTAGCTGTAATAGGCTGGGCACGGTGGTTCACACCTATAATCCCAGCACTTTGGGAGGCCGAGGTGGTTGGTTCACTAGGTCAGGAGTTTAAGAACAGCCTGGCCAAGATGCTGAAAGCTCGTCTTTACTAAAACTACAAAAATTAGCTGGGCGCAGTGGCAGGTGCCTGTAATCCCAGCTACTCAGGAGGCTGAGGCAGGAGAATCCCCTGAACCTAGGCAGCAGAGGTTGCAGTGAGCCAAGATTGTGGCATTGCATTCCAGCCTAGGTGACAGAGTGAGACTCCATCTCAGAAAATAAATAAATAAATAAAAAATAGACACAATAAATGTAAGAGATAAAAACTATAAAATTCTTAGATGAAAACATAGAGGAAAAGTTTCATAATACTGGATTTGGCAATGATTTCTTGTATATGACATCGAAAACATAGACAATAAATAAAAAGAATAGATAAACTGGCTTTATTAAAATTAAAAATTTTCATGTGTCAAGAACACTATCAACAGAATGAGAAGACAACTCATATAATGGGAGAAAATATTTGTAAACAGTATATTTTATAGGGGATTAATATCTAGAATACATAAAGAACTCCTCCAATTCAACAACAAAACCCAAAAAAACGTAATTAAAATATGAGCAAAAGGCTTGAACAGACGTTTCTACGATGAAGATATATAGATGAGCAAAAGCACATGAAAAGATACTCAACATCACTAATCATTAGGGAAATGAAAATTGAAACTATAATAAGATGTCTCTTTACACTCACTGGATGGCCATTATCAAAAAAACAAATAAACCAGAAAACACCAAACGCTGGCACAGATGTGAAGAACTTGGAACACTTGTGCCTTCTGGTAGGAATGTAAAATGATCCAGCCACTGTGGAAAATGGTATTATGGTTCCTCAGAAAATTAAATACTGCTTTGGGAGGCTGAGGCGGGTGGATCACGAGGTCAAGAGATCAAGACCATCCTGGTCAACATGGTGAAACCCCGTCTCTACTAAAAATACAAAAAAAATCAGCTGGGCATGGTGGCGCGTGCCTGTAATCCCAGCTACTCAGGAGGCTGAGGCAGGGGAATTGCCTGAACCCGGGAGGCGGAGGTTGCGGTGAGCCGAGATCGCGCCATTGCACTCCAGCCTGGGTAACAAGAGCGAAACTCCGTCTCAAAAAAAAAAAAAAAAAAAAAAAAAAACACAAAAAAAAAAAAAAAAAAAAAAAAAAAAAGAAAATTAAATACTGAATTACTCTCCCATTTCTGAGAATACACCCAAAGGAATTAAAAGCAGAGACTAGAGACTTGAATAGATATTTGTTGCTATTTTTTTTTCTTCTTAAGGCAGGGCTTTGTTCTGTTGCCCAGGCTGGAGTGCAGGGTCATGATCTCAACTTACTGTAGCCTCAACCTCCTGTCCTCAAGTGATCCTCCTACTTCAGCCTCCAAAGTAGCCAGGACTATAGGCATATGCCACTACACCTGGCTATTTTTTTTTCTTTTAATATTTTAAATTTTTTGTAGAGATAAGGTCTCACTGTGTTGCCCAGGGTGGTCTCAAACTCCTGGGTTCAAGTGATCTTCCTGTCTCAGCCTCACAAAGTGCTGGGATTACAGATGTGAGCTACTGCACCTGGTCTGAACAGACACCTGTACACAAATGTTCACAGCAGCATTATTCACAATAGTCAAAAGGTAGAAACAACCCAAATGCCCATCAACAGGTGAATGAATAAACAAAATGTGGTATTAAAAAAAAAGCATATTCATACAACGGAGTATTTTTTTCTTTTGTTCTCTTTTTTCTCTTCTTTATACAATGGAATATTATTCAGCCTTGAAAAGAAAGGAAATTCTGGCACAAGCTATAATATGGATGAGCCTACATGACATTATGCTAAGCCAGTCACAAAAAGAACAAATATCATATGATTTCACTCATGTGAGGAACCTAGAGTAGTCAAATTCACAGAAACAGAAAGTAGAATAGTAGTTGCCAGAAGCTGGGGGAAGGGAGAAATGGGTACAGAGTTTCAGAATGGGAAGACGAAAAAGTTCTGGAGATGGATGGTAGTAATACTGAATAGCTGCACAACAATGTGAATGTATTTAATACAGTTGAACTATATACTTAAAAATGGTTAAAATGATAAAATTTGTTATGTATATTAAAAAAAAGAGACCAAAGTCTGTCTCTGTTACTCAATCTTTCTTCCACTGATTAAATGAACTCTTTTTAAATGCTATAGAAAAACATACCTTTCTGTAAAATAGTGCTAAGGACCCAGTTCTCTTTGGTTTGCTTATTCCAGTTGGATGTACCTCTTGTGCTTTAGTCAGATTGGTCTGTTTTGGAGAAGCACCAATTAATGAATGAGCAGTAAGTGATACAGGACTCTTGACTTTGGAATCTTGATTTGTATTCATGGAAATAGGTATCAGCGTGATCTCTCCAGCATCATTTGCAACACCTGAATGTATAAGCATTATTAGAAATAATCTGCATATATTCTTGAAAAATTGTCAAATACATATAGTTTGTCAATTATACATACATTTGTGTGTATTAAAAGGCTACAAAATAGTAATTCTAGGTTATGACTGAATTCTTTTTTTTTTTTTTTTGAGACAGGATCTCACTTGGTCACCCAGGGTGAAGTGCAGTGGCGCCATCTCAGCTCATTGCAGCCTTGACCTCCTGGGCTCAAGTGATCCTCCCACCTCAAGCCCCTCAAATACCTGGGACTACAGGTGCAAGCCATCATGCCTGGCTATTTTTTTGTATATATATTTTTTAAGAGACAGAGTTTTGCCATGTTCCCCAGGTTGGTCTCGAACTCCTGAGCTCAAGCCATCTGCCTGCCTCAATCTCTCAAAGTGCTAGGATTACAGGCATGAGCCACTGCACCTAGCATTTTTTTTTTTTTTTTTTTTT